GCCTCCCAAAGTGCTGGGATTACAGGCGTGAGCCACCGCGCCCGGTTATGGTAACATTTTAAAAACAAAGTGTAATTTTTGTGTGAGGATATTTCTGAATAAAGTTGGCTTTCTGATAGTAATTGTCTTTAATTAAACTTTGTAGGCCATGGATCATCTGCAGTCATTCATTGCAGATTGTGATCGTAGAACAGAGGTGGCCAAGAAAAGATTAGCAGAAACCCAAGAAGAGATCAGTGCCGAAGTAGCAGCAAAGGTAAGAATTTAAATCATTTCATTAGCACAAAGTATTGTTTTGACTCACTCCTTTTATTTAACTTTTTATTTTGAAATAGATTTGCAAGAGATTGCAAAGATATTAGAAGGAATTTTGTATGCTTTCTCTTGTCTGTCTCAACATTAACATCTTACACAATATGTAATATCAAAGAAATTGACATTGGTCTAATCCTTATATTTTATTCAGATTTTGCTAGTTATGCATGTATTTATTTGTGTATGAATGTCTGTATGTATAGCTCTGTGTAGTTTTGTTTTTGTCACCCAGGCTGGAGTGCAGTGGTGCAGTCTTGGCTTGCTGCAGTTTCAACCTCCTGGGCTCAAGCAATTCTGGTGTTTCACCCTCCTGAGTAGCTGGGATTACAGGCATGCATCACCATGCCCAGCTAATTTTTTGTATTTTTAGTAGAGATAGGGTTTTGCCATGTTGGCCAGGCTGGTCTCAAACTTCTGGCCTCAAGTGACCCACCCACCTCAGCCTCCCAAAGTGCTGGGATTACAGGCTTGAGCCATCACGCCTGACCAGGTCTCTGCTGGTTTAATCACACGTGTAATTACAACCACAGTTAGGAAACTTAACTATAACATTGCCACAAGACCCCCTCATGTTACCTCTTTTATAGCTACATCCGTCTTTCCCCCCAGCATCTCTACCCTTGGCAACTGCTAATCTGTTCTCTCTCTCTGTAGTTGTTATTTCAAGGAGTGTTACGTAAATGAAATCCTATGTACGCTTTTGAGATTTGGCCTTTTTCATGCCATATAATTTCCTTGAGATTAATGCACATTGTGTGTATCAGTAGTTCATTCCTTTTTATTTCTCCGTTGTATAGATATACCACAGTATTTTTATTTGCTTGTAAAAGCAAATGTTAAACGTCATATTTCACTTGTAAATTGTAACCACAGTATCACATACATAAAGCTAACAGTAATTTTCTAATGTATCCAGTATATGTTTATTTTTCTTACAGAGTCGATATGTTGTTAGAATTCAAACAAGGTCTTATATATTGCATTTCGTTGATGACTTACTACTTTATGACATAATTCTATTTCATTCAGTATAATCTAGTGTGTTTTATGAAAATGCAGAATGGGAGAAAAAGAACTACACAGGTGGAGTTTAGATGATAGTATTAAAATATGGTGTTCAGATATGTATAAATATAAATTAAAATAGATATCTTTGTTTGAGAAAGGGTTACTTTTAGTCAGCCTTTTCTGAAAAGTTCTCTGACGATGGGGACTGGTAAGATGGGCATCCTGAAGTAGAAAGGATCTAGTATTTCGTGGTTGGAAGAGATCCATAAGTGCTTGGTAGGGCCCAAGCTGTATTGGTTGTATTGGTTATCCATCACTACACAAATGCTGTATAACAAACCACTTCAAAGCTCAGTGACTTAAAACAGTAAATATTCATTTAGCCCATGACTCTACAGTCCATGATTTAGGCTGAACTTGACTGAGTGTTATTCTTGTCTCAGCTGGGCTTACTCACATCCCTTGCAGTCAGCTGGAGGATGCAAAGCCATGCCCAGCCAGCTAGCCTGGCCCTGTTCTCATGGTGGTGGCAGAGGTGCAGAAGCATCAAGCCCCATCACACAGGCCTCTCCTTTGGTCATGTTTGCTGCCACTCCGGTAGCCAAAGCAAGCTCATGGCCAAATTCAGATTCAGAGTGTGATGGTACACAATTACATGGTCAAGGGCATGGTTACAGGGAAGAATGAAGAGTTTTGGACAACAGTGTAGTCATTCAATGATATATTTAAAGGAAAATACCATTGGTATAGAGGGAGGATAGTGATAATAGAATTATAAATCTCATTGAGGAAAGAAATATCTTGGGATGAAGGAGACTTGAGAGGTAAAGATTATTAATTAAACCAGTAAACTGGTTTGTTGGGACTGGGTACCCATACCAAACCAAAATCTTTAGCTGGGCTCAGTGGCTTATACCTGTAATCCCAGCACTTTGGGAGGCCAAGGCGGGCAGATCACGAGGTCAGGAGTTCGAGACCAGCCTGGTCAACATGGTGAAATCCTGTCTCTGCTAAAACTGCAAAATTAGTCGGGCATGGTGGTGTACCCCTGTAATCCCAGCTACTGGGGAGGCTGAGGCAGGAGAATCCCTTGAACCTAGGAGGTGGAAGTTGTAGTGAACTGAAATCGTGCCACTGCACTCTAGCCTGGGCAACAGAGCTAGACTCCATCTCAAAAACAACAGTAACAAGAAAAAAATTAAACCTCCTTTACTAACATAATTAGCCACACAGCAAAGACTTTGTGGCCAAAATAATAATTATGTATATGTTTCATGTGCCATTACAACAGTAAAAATGAACTAAGTTGGTAGGATGATGAGGGTGATGAAGAAGAATGTATTCTTTCCCAAGGGAAGAGTTAATCCTGATGGAAAGCTAAAGACTAATAGAGTGGAGTTGCCACGCTAGTAGCTGAAAATCAGCAAGGTGTGTGCAGTGTACATAGAAGACATATTTTCTCATTTTTCACAGCTTTGTGGGATAGGTGCTGTCTGTACTTCTCAGATGAGGAAATGGATTCAGGTATAAGTAATATAGCCAAAATTACATGGATAGTAATTGGTTTAGTGATAAGTCACTGTTGGACTCCGGAGGTTGATCCACCAGTTCATTTCTTTAACTCATATTTGAGCCTAGGCTATTTGCTGCACACTAGAGATAAAAAGAGGAGAAATAAGGCCGGGCGCGGTGGCTCAAGCCTGTAATCCCAGCACTTTGGGAGGCCGAGGCGGGTGGATCACGAGTCAAGAGATCGAGACCATCCTGGTCAACATGGTGAAACCCCGTCTCTACTAAAGCTACAAAAAAAAATTAGCTGGGCATGGTGGTGCGTGCCTGTAATCGCAGCTACTCAGGA